GCCCAGTCCCTCTGTGAGTACACCCCTAGAAGGGGAGTGACGGCCCAATGGCCTTGGAGAGCCTGTTTTTCCTCTCTGGGCCTCAGTTTGCTCAGCTGGAAAGTGGGATGAAAATGGGGCTCCAATCACTAGGGAAGCACTTCTCACCCGCCACTGCACCTCCCCAGCAAGCAGTCTCCAAATCAATGCCATGGGGTGCGGTGGGGTCTCAGGACCCTCTGGATCCTGCGTGCCTCTCCCAGCCCCCAGCTGGCTCACACAGCAGCCACATGCCCCAGAAGTCGCACTCGGCCTCTGCTCCCCAGGGCTGGTCCTCCCGCCTGCTTGAAGGGTACAGCTTCGGAGGTGACCCAACCTGTGGGCAAAGCCCGGCTGGCAGGGTGGCCCCGGCTGCACTACTCAGGCTCTCTGGGCTTTGTCAGCTCCTTGAAGAGGGGGAAACAGGCGCTTCTCCAGGCCTCACAGGACTTGGGCACCCCACTCCCGAGGACAGTGAGTGCCCGGCCCATGCTGCCGTCGTTGTGGTCCCTCACAGCCATCTCAGCTAGGTGTGCAAACCCCACAGGCAGCTGCTTCAGGAGGGGAATCCCTGGAAGCACAGCAGGGGATGGAGGATGTGAGACAGTGAAGAGAAGGGGGAGTCATGGACTCAGGGCACCAGCGCAGGGCACGCACCCCAGAGTGACTGCTGAGGGCGGCGAGGAAGGGGCGTCTATTCCCTAACTCCCTTCCGGCCTGCTGAGGGCTGTCCTGAGGTGTTAGCTCCCTGGCCCTTCCTGGCTGCCTATGCACTGGCTGCGACTGCGCCAAAGTCCAGACAGGAAACGCTCTCGAGGGCTGGGGACTGGCAGTGAGCGGTCTCTTCCTGCGCCGAAGGACACTGGCAGCCACCGTGTGCCACTGCCAGGTGAGCGGCCAGGCACGGCACCTCCCTCACTGTGCCCATCTCTTCTCCCCCCGAGCCCTCCGGCCTAGACCTGCTCCACTGAACCCTCAAAACCACGGCTGCTGCTCCCCACAACACCCTCACTTGATGTGGAGCCAAACGATGGGGGTGGGTCCTGTACTGTCACTCAACACATGTGTGCACATGTGTCTGGGTGCACATGTGTGTGTACCTTTGGGTACATGGGGTGTGTGTGCACGTGTCCATCTCCACATGTATGTATGTGTGTGCACATGTGTGTGCCTTGGAAGGTAA